TGGCTTTGACAGCTCCTCAGTTTCTAGGGAGAGCTCTCGGACATGAATAATACGGGTTTGTCCTGCTCCGTAGCGAGATGGGGCAGCCTTGCAACCCCCCCCCCCCCCCCGCAAACACACGCACACACATCAGTGAGTTGAAGCCAGAGCCTCATTGTATGCGGCGTGGTGTACTAATGCGGGGGGGGGGGGGGGGAGCTCAGGATGCTGCTGCCCGGGGGAGCATCAGGGGCGGTACCCCCTCCGGCCCCCCCACGCCCCCGGGCTGCCCTCCAAGGCACGGGTCAATCCTGCCTTCGTGCTGCCCCGGGCGGAGCCAGGAAGGCTGCCCAGGGCCGGAGGGGGGGGGGGGGAAGGCGGCCGCCGAGCTCCCCCTGCCCACGCGGGGAGACCCGGCCCTTGGCCCTGCCGGGACACGCGTGGGCCGGGCTTGCCCGAGGGGACGGCCCCGGGCCACCCCCGCGGGAGGTCCCACCCTTCCCTGGAGAGGCTCTGGCGGGGCCAAGGGGCCCGGACCGCCCGGATCGGGCCCCAGAGCGGGGCCAGGGGGCTGGGGGGAGACACTGGGAAGGTTGGGGGGGGCGGTTATTGATGGCGAGGCTGCCAAGATCTCTGCCTGTGTGAGGGCTCCCCCCATCCCTTCCCCGTTATAAACACTAAGGAGCAAGTCCATGGGACGGCCAGCACCCTGAAAAAAAATATAATATATATATATAAATAAAATCGCAGGATTGGGTAACCCTCCGATACAGAATGGGTCTAGTTATTAAATACTACAAGGCGCTTGTCACAGCTGAGTTCCCCGTGTAATAAAACACCAGGTATAGCAAGAGATTGCGGGAGAAACGGGGAGGGAGACCTTGGAAAACTCCCATTTTTCTTGCTGGGTGGAGGGGAGGTGGGGAGCGGGGTTAACGGCGTGGCGTTCCCTGCGGCCATTAAATTGACTCCGAGGTGATTTTGTCTTTCTTTGAGATATTGACAAACTTCCACTTCCAGCGTTTTGGGCCGCGCTCGCCTTTGTGGCCAGAGCAGATAAATACATGTGTGAGAGACACCGGGAGAGCGAGGGAGAGGGAGGGAGAGAAAGAGACATTTAGGTCCAAGTGCCGGATTAAAAAGAATACTGTCTTTAAAGGTCAAGGGTTTGAAGGGTCAGTCTGCTTCTCTAAAAAAAACAATTAATGGGATAGAAAATTTGTCCTCTCGGTGAACTCCTGGTTGCCCTAGCAAAGGGAGCACAATGCGAGAATTTAAGCTGGACGATGTAATTTTCGAAGTTATTGTAAGACGGGCGGTGTGGAAGCGGGAGCAGAAGGCTCCCAGCCCGGGAGCACCGCGCTGCTCCCAGCGGAGGCGGAGGGGGAAGGGGGGAAAAAGGAAAATTTACCTTAAACGACGAAAATCTGCCATGGGGTATTTTGCAGTCCGCTGTTCAATCTCCACCAAGAGCGTGTACATTTTTTTAGCAGACAGCCAAGATGCTGTGTCTTTACACATGACCACTTTTTTTTTTTTTTTTTTTTCCAGGAAAATCCTTTGCGTCTTCACAGACTTTTCCAAGAGAATGCCTTTCAGAACCGCTGTTGAATTACAAAGAAGTATTTATTGTAGGAGGTGATTAATGATTCTCGCTAAAATTGCTATTTGCAGCGTGATTTCATTTCTCTTTTCAATGGGAGCAAACAGGTTTATACGCATAGGCTGCACACCAAAGAAATCCTGCATTGCCAGTTAATACGTTTCAGCTGGAATTTTGCTCGCTTGTGCTAATGTGGGCTCTAAGTATATGGAGGGACTCTCGAGCAACGCACAATACACGCTTGCAGATAGCAGTTGCCTCACTTACAGCTATATTCTCCCCCTTTATAAGGAGGCAGCTGGCAATTTAGGGTTTAGCAAACAGCAATACGTGAGTGCAAGCGCGCTTTTCAGGCCTGCTTGCTGGTCGGGTTGGGAGACAGCGGTGTTTGCTCAGCGTATTTACAACCGCCATATCTCTGATGCTGAACATACTCTGCCAATGACACGTTAAATTTTTCACCCGGGCGCTACGTGCTCCTCGGACAGGCAGGGATGCTCAGCATAACCAGGGCCTGGTGCAAGGCACCCGAGGGGTGGCGAGGCACCCACTCCTCCGGCCTCCACCACGTGAAGGGGCCAAAAATCCCTCTCGGATGTGTTTGGCTAAGCAACTAAGTCTTGGCCTTCGGTGGTGCTTCCCTGGAAGATTTACTAGCGCTGGAGCTCCTTTCCATGTTTTTCCCTCCCCAGCTCGGTGCTGGTCTCAGAAAGAGCTGTGAAAGCCCGCGGAGGCAGCGAGGGGAGGCTCCGAGCTGCAACCTCTTGGCCCCCGGTTCGCCTCCATCGTTTGGAGGATCTCGGTTAGATAAACGGTTCGAGTTGGCTGTGCCTGGCTTCGTGTCACTGCTAAGGCTTTCTCTAAACGTTTCGAAATGGTCTTAAAAAAAAAAAAAAAAAAAAAAAAAGGAAGAGGAACAGAAAAGACAGCTAGAGAAACTTCAGGTTACCGCCCATGTATTTCCCTTCGAAGTGCTAGCCAATTGAGAAATCACAATCGGACGAAAATGAACGAATAAATCACGACTGGCTAGAGATTTAAAGTGTTATCATGGGGAGCATGTGTGACTTCTCCTCCAGCAAAATCCGCCAGGGGAGCTTATTGGCTCCCAGTAGAAGCTCAGTTTCTCTGTGCTGCGGTCGAAAACAGTCTCAAGCCCAGCGATGGAGAGCCGGACTAATTCTGCCACAAGTCTGCTAAAGAGAAGACCACTCACCTACACAATACAGCAAGACCTTTCCTCGTCCTACTGTGCCTTTTTTTTTTTTTCTTTTTTTTTTCCAGGCAGGCACTTAGGATTCAGAAAGCTTTGCGCTATATTTAAAGCAACCATTACCTTATTGACAATATTAATCCAAGTTAAAACAATGCGCTAAACCGTTGTTTTCCGTTCCTGGTGCCAACACCAGCGAAGCACAAGGTGTAGGAAACAGCACTGAGGGGACTTGTGTGTTTCAAGCGTTTAATTCTTTTGTACAGGATAATCTTTATTACCAGCATTTGGCACTGTTTACATTACACCAAAAATCCACAAAATTGTACATGGACCCAAACGATTGAGACGGTGCCAAATATGAAGACAGCAACAGCCTTTATAGCATTTTTTTGTTTAAATAAATGCAACAGGGAATGTGGAGAAAAACTAATATATCACAGCTACAGCGGGGGCTACACTTAAAACCAGTTAAGTTACCTTTGATACATAAAACACTTCCCTTGAGACAGCGTGAGGGGACAGTTTTCTTAAGTTTTTGACCTCCGTGAACGTGGTCACTCGCTTTCCTGTGTTGGCGTGTGTGCAAACGTGTATGTGTACCCTCACACGCACACACACGCACACGAGAATCCACGACCACGCCACGAAACACCGCTATTCAAGTCAATGCCTTACACAAGTGTCTCACGAGGTCTTGGCTTTGTTTTAACCGTCTTTTTATTTTTTAAAGTGTTCTCTACAAAAAAAAAAAAAAAAAAAAGTCCGTCTTAGGTACAGAGAATTCGTCCGTGACAGCATCCAGCACTCTCTTACACCGAGGGCAAGAGAGTGTTTCCATAAATAGAAAAAAAATGATGGGCATGGAACCATTATCTATATACAATGTAGACAATCGTCCGGGTTTTGGTTTAAACATGTGCCCGTTCTTGGGCACGTCTCGTCTTCCTTTTCTGCTCCTGTTTTATTTTACACAGTTGTTTGGTCCAAGCGGCCAACCACCAGCACGGGCAGCTGGAAAACCCCAATAGATAGGTAAATATATATATATTAAAAAAAAATAATAATAATAACCGTATTTATAGCGCGGCTGCGTTGGGTGTAGACCCATCGAGCGGATGGGGGTGGCCCTGTGTCTGTGCTTTGGACTGCTGGCTCAGTGTGGACTGGTTTGAGGAGCGCATCTTTGTGTTAGGCAGTTTATGGTCTTTCTTCCACTTCATGCGCCGGTTCTGGAACCAGATCTTGACCTGGCGCTCGGAGAGGCAGAGGGTGTGCGCGATCTCGATGCGTCTCCTCCTGGTCAGGTAGCGGTTGAAGTGGAACTCCTTCTCCAGCTCCAGGACCTGCTGTCTGGTGTAGGCAGTGCGAGACCTCTTGGGTTCCCCTCCGTTGTAATTGGGATTGACTGAACGTGCACACACGGACACACACACACGCGGAGGGGAAAGAAAAGGGGGGGGGGGGCGATGGAACATAATCATTATATAATAACTTGACACCAGGTTCAAATAAGATACATAACGGCAAGAAAAATTGTTTCGCAGCCTATCGACAGTGGGGACAATCGAGGAGCAATAAAAAATGGTGATGGGCATTTGGGTTAGAAGAAAAGCTTCAAAGACACATGGCCCAGAGCCACTGCAGGGCAATTAAATTTATGGGGGCTATAATTACTGCCCTAACAGTTTGGCGTCTCGTAAATCTTTTGATAAAGGACCCCGGATACAAAAGGTTTCTCACTTTTTTTTTTTTTTTTATTAGGAAACGCGGAGGGAGAAGGAGGGAAGGAGGAAAAAAAAAAAAAAAAAACACACGCAACGACCCGTCCCGGCCCCGGCAGCACCCTCCCCCCCTTCCCTCTGCAGGCTCATCCCAGCCTCCCCCTTGCCCGGGGCAACTCACCCGTGCTCACATGGATCTTCTTCATCCAGGGGTACACCACCGGCTCCTTCCCCTTCAGCCCGGCCAGGCTCTTGTCGGGCAGCAGCGGGCACCCGGCCCCGGTGCCGGCCCCGGCGGCGGGGGCCGCTTCGCAGCGGCGCTGCAGGGCATGGCCGGGGAGCAGGGGCTGGGCCGGCCCGGGGTGGCCCTTGGCGGGCGGCGGCGGCGGCGGCGAAGCGCCCGGGGGCGGCTGCTCGGGGCCCGGGGCGGCGCTGCCGGCGCTGCTGTAGCTGTAGGGCGCCTGGGGGTAGGAGGGTGCCTGCGCCGGGTACAGCGCCTCGGGAGGCGGCCCCGGCGGCCCGGGCGGCGCCGCGGGAGCCTGGTAGCCGGGCTCCCTGCGCGGCCGGGGGAAGTACTCGGGCAGCGGCGGGCCCGGGTGCGCGGCGGCGTGCAGGTGCGGCGGCGGCGGCGGCGGCGGCGGCGGCGGGGCGTGCGGGTGCGGGTGCGGGTGCGGGTGGTAGCTGGCGGAGGAGCTGCCGGCGCTGCCGCCGTGCTGCGTGTACTCCTCGCAGGGAGGGAATTTGGGCTCGATGTAGTTGGAGTTTATCAAAAACGAACTCATGGTCATTAATTTGTGAAGTGCAAAAATACTAATTTTTCTCGCGTTGTCGTTTTTCTGGGCTCGACGAGGCCCCTCCCCTTCCCCCCCCCTCTCCCTCCCCTCCCTCCCTCTCCCCCTCCCGCCGCTGTCAAGTGCTCGCCGCTGCCAAAGTTTGGGCCTCCAGCTTTCTCCCCCCCCCCCCCCCCCTCCCCTCCGCACTCCCCTCCCTTCCTCTCTTCCCACCCCTGGAGCGCGTACAACACACACACACAACACGCGCGCACACACACACACACACACCCCGACACACCATCACCACCTGACCGCCAGCGCCAATTACCGCGCGGGGCCGCGGACCCCGGATCAGGAAATGGAAGGAGGGCGAGCGGCCGCAGGGCTCGGGGCAGCTCCGCACCCGCGGGCCCTCCGCGGGGGCCGCTCCCGGCGCCGCCGCCGCCTCCGCGCCTCCTCCCGGGGCGGCCCCGACGGGGGCTCCCCCGCGCCCCGCGCCCGCTCCTCACCCCAACCCATCCCATCCCATCCCATCCCATCCCATCCCCGCCGGCTCGGGCCGTCGCGGTGTCAAGCGAGATAAAACTAATCCAGACCTGACAGTTTCGTGTTTTTTTTTTTTTTTTTTTTCCCCACAACACTTTGAGTTCGATTTTTTTTTTTTTTTTCCCTATTTAGCGGAGCGCAGCCCAGCTGCGTGATCCGGAGGGAGGCAGGCGTTACACGGGGCGTTGCACGATCGGTTTAAGCGAGCCCATCTCCAAATAGCCTCGAGTCGGGGCTGCCGGGCTGCGGCCACCTCCTCTGCTCCCCCCCCCCCCCGCCCTCGGACCGCGGAGGGCCGGCAGCCCCCGGCCCCCTGCGCCTCTGCAGCCGCGGTCGCTGGAGGATGAGATGCAAAAGTTAGCGTGGACGGCGAGGGAAGGCCGAAGACAGCCCCTAAGTGTCTTGTGGGGCAAGGGAGGGATACAGCGAGGCTGGGAATAACGGGGAGGAGAAGAGGAAGGGGGAAAGGGAGGCGGACACGGAGGTCCCTAACACTTCCTACCGGCGGCTCGCTGCTCCCTTCCCGCAGAGCAGCGTTTGCCAAACTACGAATTTAAGCCCGCCGCTTTGGTATGCGTGGTGCTGGGTTTATTTCTGGATTTCTAATTCCACGAGAAATCGCCTGCGCCTTCGCAGAAGTAACTCAGAAACCCTGGTGTAGGAGGGAGAGGGGGAGAGGGCACTCGGGCACTTCTGCCGTGCTAAAACTGAGGCTGTTAACGATATTTTCAGCTCAGAGGGAGAAGAGGCAACCGCCCTGACCTTAGGTAATTGAAATTTGATGGTGAAACTAATTACACTCTTATTCTAAGGGGAAAAAATACTTATTGAACGCCATCTACTCTCGTAGATTGGGAGTTAGAAGCGAACTTCTCGGATTTTTTTTTTCACCTTTTCACGAAAGCATAAAACCACGTATAAATATTTACCGCACCCCTCGCGAATATAATTGCTGAGTGGGTAATCTCATCCCCTGGTATGGGAAAATACATCTAATATATCAAGCGTAAATACGATACGTTTTAGATCTTGCCCTCCTAAAGATATTACATTAACAGTTAGCCTGGTTTAAATTCAGATTATTGCCTTTTGCAGTTTTATAGATAATGGATACATGCAATAAAATTCTATTTGAATATATATTCTATCTAACTAGACACACCGCGTATCGATTTATATTTTCTACACACGCACACACGCACATTGCAGGCGGCTTGTAATATGTTAGAACATTTCCAGCACTTGGGTATACTGGGGTACTTATCTAAACAATCACTCATTTCCTGCTCCTATCGAATGTCTAATTTGTAAAGAGAGTTAAAACACATTTACTTACTCATTTCCAACAGCACATCTATGGAACTCTTTAACTGGTGTAATAGATAAGTTTCTCTATTTACTCTGCATGGAGAGGAAATGCGGTTACACACACGCACCCAGAGAGAGAGCCGCAACTGTGCAGCAGCACCCATTTGACGGAAAGGCGACATTGTTTTATTAATAAACAAGCAAACAAACAAACAAGCAAGCGAAAGCAACACGGCGACTCATACTGTACAAGACTAAAGCTCCCACCTACGTTACTGTAAAAAATGAAAGATTGTCAGCGACCCCCGCGAGCAGAGAGCAGTTTCCCGGCGTCCAGGAGATGCATGCACGCACACAGACACACACGTACAAATACCTGCTGGCCAGCACCAGATGAATTACACTGGATTACCGTACCCATTATCCTCGGCATAAGGGACAAGTCCTGAGACACTATGGCTAGAACACTACAGCAGATACCGTGCTCCCGAGCCACGGTAAAACACAACGAAAACTGGTGTCCTGATTTGTAGGCTGAGCGCTCTATTCGGAGAGCTGACCGCGTTCTGCTTCCTATTATTTACCGTGATTAGATCTCAAAGTATACTTGTTTCACTGCACCTCTTTCTACTGTGTATCTCTGGCGCTCGGTTAAACGGAGAAGGATGCGATTTTGTATACGACTGTAAATCTGCAAGGTGACCTGAGCTGCGCGGCTGCAGTCTGTTTTTTCGTGTGGTTCTATTAGTCTGCGAAGATGTGCTGAGGCAGGACCTCCAAAAGGCCTGTTCCATGTCTTTGTGGTTTTGTTATCATAAACAAGAACCCAGCCAAGACCACCAAGTGTTATCTTGCACACGGCCATTTCGACATTTTACTGCAAGATTTATGGCTGTAATAAACAATCTCAGAAACCCTTTTTTTCCCCCGGTACTTCCCTTTAACAAACTTGTAGCATCATCCTAACCTCTCAAGGAAAGAAAAGGAGAGGAAAAATAGGCCAGGTCCCTTATTTTTGCAGGAGGATTGAAGGCTCGGTTTCGCTGGTGAAGGAGACTTTAATCAGTTAATAGAGGAGCCAGAGCTTCCTGGCCGAGGCTGGCCGAGGAGGAGATGGGGACTGCACTGGAATGAAGTTGAGAGGGAGAGAGTTAATTGCCATGCACCAAGAAGAGCCAACCTCATGCATGCCCAAAGAGGGGGAGAGGGGGATCCCCCTTTTTTCTAGGGAAACGTCTGAGCACCCCTGCTCCCCTCCACGTGCGCGGCTAAACCGTAATGACAAGGAAAGAAAAAATAATAACAAGAATAGCAATAACAGCAGCAATAATAGTAATAATAATAATAATAATTCAAGTCAACCTTTCGCCGTGCCCGGGCACCCTCCACAGAGAGAGTGGTAGGAGGAGGAAGAATCGCACTAGCAGCCTGGTTTGAATTTGATTTGAACCATTTTGAATATATTTAGCCCCAGCTTTCCCCTCTTGAATGCGAGGCTGTCCCAAGTTTCAAAGTGACCGAAAAGTGACACCGTGTGCATTTTGTTTCTTATTAATCTTACACATTGACAGTCTTTGTTAAATAACAAGGCGTGCCCTTCACCAGGCGACATTTTCATATTTGTTAGACGCGGTGACCTGAAGTTCACCTCGGCCTTGGACTTAGTTTTTCTAAAAGGTCTATAACAGTGTCTTTTAGATAGCGGGGTGCTTTGCCCAGGTCACTACTTCTAAGGGAAAATTAAGAAAAAATCGCGGGAAAATGTAAACGTTATGGAATGTATCGACTGTATTCCCTCCTTTGTTCCTGGGAATCATAAAGCCCCGAGGCAGCTACTGCCTTCCGCGGTTGCAAGCACTCGCTCTATATGGTCGCTACTGGGGCAATGTTCATATTTTTGCCCAAGTTCATACTTTTGTGAAAGCGGGGACTTCACTGGCACTGGCTCTCTTCTTAACAACTGGATGTTTGGCGGGATTTGCTCGCTCTGTCCTGGCATGGTTAAATAAACACATAGAAAATGTGATTTGTGCCCGGATTTGAAATGAATGGTCTTTTGACCATACCTTCCATACCAGAGAGCAGTGTGCTGAATGCAGAGAGTGAAAGGGGAGAAATAGTTCGTCCCAATTTATTAACTTTTTTTTGTTTTGTTTTGTTTTAAGGAATAATCTAGACACCGATTCAGAAGATTCAATATTGGCTGAAGTTTCAGGTTCCTTGAAAATATTCCCATTATTCCCATTGATATTTTTATTCTAGACCGGACTGAAAAATATGGAATTCGAGAGGCTAATTGTTTTGGTAAGGAAGCAAATGAATTTCAGTCACCTTCTCTTGAGTAACCCAGTTATAGCAACAGCTTTCATTCTGGGTGTATCAAAGACGCATTGTTGTTCTTGGAAACAATCTGCCTGCTATTCTTTAACAAAATAGATATTTGGCTATGGCTTTTAGCATGTTATCAGGCTTCGCTCTTACACCAAATAAATACTCTAGATGTGAAAGGTTAAACAATATCTCCGGTGAGGGAAGGCTCCCCAAACGCGCAATGCCAGGGCTCGCTGCAAGTTAGCAGCAGCAGGGACATGCGAGCAACGTCTACACGCCGAGCAAATACTTGCATGCACACCTTTTCTGCGCTTCGGCAGGTACTTCGGGCAAAATCTCCAATAACAGCATTGGCTAATCTGAAATCTAACACCTCGCAAATTTCTTCCCAAGAAATATCGCCCGGCTGCCACGATCCAGCTGGGTCTGTAGCAAATAATTCACGCGTGCCCAATGCATCGAGGACGGTGTAGCCTCCTGCCTTTGGGGTCGAAAGGCGTGGATGGCGGCGAGGTGCGCTCCTTTTCTGCATTCCTCATGGCATTGTCCCCTCCTCCACACCTTTCACAGCTGTTTATCAATATTTTGGAATCTCCTTTCCCCCTTCCATCCTCATCATTGCAACCTGAATCCGGCGGCGCCTTGCAGTGCTCTCCCCAAAATGCAGTTCCCTGTGCAATATTGGCCACTTCTCCCTCCAGACCCGCCTAGCCGAGGAGCTAAAGCTTCAACACCGAGGCAGCACTGGGAACAAAAAATCCCAGCAATGTGGAAATAACTCTGCGCAAAGAAATTCCTCTAAACTTTTTTTTTTTTTTTTTTTTTTTTTTTTCTTGGCGGGGGAGAGGAGGGAAAACATCCCTTCCTGCTCCCCATTTCACTGGCAACTGCTGCCTCGGGTAATTCCAGTAGGCTCTGAGGTCCATCCAAATCACGGAGCCGCGCTGGGCGCCAGCTTCTCCACAATATTTTCCATCGGTAGCACAACATGGCCCCATCGCTCCGCGGTTTTAAGCGAGCTCCCTCGGACTAAACATATAACCCGCCCGTATTATCTGCAGCATGTCCTGTTTAAGCACAGTTTAGTGGTCGCTACAGAAACGAGAGCAAAAACAAAGACGCGGCTAGGATCGATACACACGTTAATAGCTTTGCTCCTATCTTATCTTCCTGCCATTTTGCAAAGTGAGAAGGCTTAACATTAAACCTCTTAAAGCGGGTTATTATATAATAAACAAGGGTGAAACATTTTGCTACCTGACTCTCGGAGGAGGCAGCACCAGCGGCTGGCGTGGGGGTAACATGCGTGTTTACCTGCCGCGCCTGAACCCGAGATATTCAGACACAAATGTGGCCGATAATTCAAGATGAAATACAACGTGTATTACTCTTGAAAAGAGGAATTTTCTATCCTTTCCTCGGTAATTGAGGTCATTCAGCCAGTAGGGTTCACCTGGAGTCCATACTGTGATACACACGTAACTCAAAGCTATTTTATCTTTTGTGCTGATAGTCAAGATCTCGGCTATAACATTGACATCAAACTCTGTCTGGGCGAATGACTAAGAGTGGTGCAAAACGTAAACTTTTGACCCTCAACTTTTTGACCTGCAGTTGTAACGCCCTTAACCACAAAGATATACAAAAGCTATGCAGCTTCTTTTAGGAGTAAGAGACTCGCACTGTTTGTTTCAATAGTTCTGCCGTTTCCCCCCGCTTTCTAAGGGCTTTTTTTTTTTTTTTTTTTTTTTTTCTTCTTGCTGTTGAGAAATCGGATACGTTTGCATTTTTAATTATTGCTTTTTTTTTTTTTTTCTTTAATCTGGCAGCTTTGTAAAGTGCTGTTAAATCAGTTTGCACACCCTTTCGGCAGCGTTGGAGGAAAGCCTGTTACTCAAAGGCGCTATATGGTTACAATTGCAGGTGAAATGCTGGGTAAGTTCTGGGCGTGAGGTTGGAAGGATGTAGAGACTGGCGTTGGGGGAAAAGCTGCAGCTCTCTGCTGCTAGGGTCTTAGTCATTTCTCCTTGATTTAAACATAAAGAAACAACTCTAATTGTTTGCGAAGCCTTGTCTAGGCAAACGAGTTGACTGTGAACTTGGTCTAAAGCGAGCTCTGCTGGTGATTCCTAGGGTGTGCAGATTTATCTTTTCTGCATTTACTTAACCTGGCAGTGAACTGCACGGGCTGCCATTTGTTATCTAGAGACAGACTTCACCTCAAGCAAGGACTGTTCCACAAAATTGCAATAATTACCCAATAACCTTCATAGCAAATATTATTATTGAAAAGACATTTTTGGGGGGTTATAGGAAAGATTCCTTATGCGTGCTATAAGGCGAAATCCTTGCAAATTTTACACACTCTCCGTGTCAGATTTGATATTGTTTGTGCGTGTAGCTACACGAACATGTGACTATGATGGTCCATGAGTATGTGCCTTCCAGAGAGACGTTAGTGGGGATGCTTTCATTTAAAAGGAATAATATTTTCGAAGATGATCAGGCGGCTGTGGGAGCTGTATTATTTTTTTTTTTTTGCGCTCTGGGTAGCAACTTTAACAACAAATTGGGGATATTTTAAGGGCAGGCAAGAGAAAGAGCTAAGAAAGCAAGGCGATGCCTTGACTTGGTCAGGAGATTTACTTATGTCTGCCTTTAATGCGTTAAATCTGTATTTGCGGGGAGGGAAAAGGCATTGCTCCAGTATCCAGGGTTTGAAATCGAAACCTCCTGATCCGCCCCTCCTGATCTGTTCCATTCAATTTCCCATGGAGCAGATTGCAAACCCTTCTATTGTCACCCTTCCACAGATACACACTTATTAAACGTAAGGAAATGGCAGAATAATAATTTCCCCGTAATGTTCTGCAATTAGGGCGTTTGCGCGGCTTAGGAAGCGCTTCAGAACTGTAATTTACGGATGACTTTCAAGCGAATTGTTCTACTTCTGGTTTAGAGAAAGTTACGACTTACAAAGTCACTAGTTACACACATTAAGAGAGTTGCCTAATCTTTAATTGGCCTAACGCTTAGACATGACACACTACACTCAAGTATTTCTTTCAGAGGATTAAGTAAACTATATTTCAATGCGCTCAACGCCACTTGCCATGCCTAAAGTAAAACAAACTCGCACGCATTAATCCCCAAAACACAGCAGAAAAATAATGTGCGCAGATAAGACCTCTCTCTCGATTCCAGGCGATTATTCTCCATGACATTTTTCACTCAGAAAACAATTAGGACCTGGGAATATTTTTGTAGAGTTCGGCAGTCTGGAGTTGTTTGAATTTAAAATTTAAAAAGTGGATTATAAAATCTTAATGAGCTTCTGGTTTTGAGTGACTTCGACTGCTCTGCTTAGAACGAGGCAGGGCCAAAAATATTGAGAAGTTGTCATTTCTAGCTAACTTTCTCTTGTTTTTAGTGTGCTTCTTGCAGTACGTGCGGGTTTATATGCTTATGGGTTTCGTGATATTTTTTCTTTCACCATAGTTCTTGAATTTCTGTTCCCAGCATTACGAGAATGTACTCTAGAAAGCACATCCAAAAATGTGAAAGTAATAGGAGCAAATCTTTCGCTTTAGACCATTACAGCGCGGGGTGATATCCAGGTTCCAAAAATATTAGTTGAAAGGGTGTGGGGGTGTGTTTGTGTATTCACCAGATAATTCAAATAACGCAATGTTGTCGACTATTGAGTAATAGTGAATGGTTCGCGCCTTGTATCATTCTCTGTAACAAGAACAGGATTTTCCTTCAAAAAAGGACACGTATATGAATGAAGCCCAAACTTTTAAAGTCCTTTCATGCCTTTGCCTCGAACTATCAATTTTTTATGGCACATAATATAATATAATACACGCCTATCATAAAAAACTTTCTGGTATTCCTATTGATGAAACTGTGACAGCTAGTGTACTATAAAATCCCCAGCTGTTTATTACGGAAATAATTTTCAAATCTGTATTTGGATATGCGCTTTTAAAGCCTTTCCCATTTTTTGAATATAAAACATATGCATATGTGTTTGTTTAGTGCTCACAGAAAGATCCACAGACACAAAGGCTTCGGACTTCATTTATCTTACACAGGAGGTTGACTACAAATATTAAATATTTGTAAAACTTGGAAATCTTTGAGCTGAGCCAACCTTATATACTACCGTTTCTTTAACATGAAAGGGAGGCAGATTTAAGAAAGGGATCAGTCGGCAATGTCGGTCGTGGACCCTGTGCAGACTTTGCAGAGGTACGCGCCAACCTCACCCTCCTGTACCCCTCTGCCTTCCTCTCTTTTTGCTCTCAGTGCCACATATCGTCCAAACTGCAGCTTTCAGGCGGGGTAGCGCTAGCAAAATACAACAAAGCCTGTCTCCCATCTCGCATCAAACCGCCCAGTTCTTCTTGAAACTCGAGTTTATGACACATCAAGGAAAACAATGCAACCTGCAGAGGCGATTGCGTTGAATCCCTTCTGATCCGACCCTGAGCGGAGATACCCACAACTGGTTTGCATACAGAAGTATTTTGGAGCTAATTCTCAGATCTCTTCCCCAGCCCCCGAATAGTCCATCCACACCCCCACGATCCCTCTCTCTAAGGGTAAGGATCAGGCCTTAAAGCTACCCAAAGAGAGACAGAGCTCCTTTCACCCTTTCATTCAAGTCCTGGAAATTCAAAGACTAAAGTTAAATCCGGCCATAAAGTTTATTGCTGAGTAATCACACTCTAGTGAGAACAGTCCACTTAAATAAAAAGAATGTGGAAGTAAACATGCAGCTGGGGCCTACCCCACAATGGCAGCCAGCAATATAAGGCAGAGAGGGAGAGAGCAGAGCTATGGGGATATTTACAATCTTCAATAAACCAAGCCCGTATTTCATAATTTGCAGCACTCTAATGACCTGTAGTCTCTTGTATTAATGCTACAAGTTACAGTCAATTGGTTCGCTTAAAAAAAAAAAAATACTCGCAGGAACATATATATGTATACACACGTACACACCCTTTGTATGCATAAATACACCGGTATTGGATAAACAGATGCATGTGCCCAGCTTTATACAGGCGTATATGTAGATTTGTACAGGCATGCACACGCGCACGATTCACATATATTTATATTTGTATATTTACACGTAGGAGCTGGAAAAAGTTACAGCAATGTTCTAAATATGCTCACTCACAAGACACTACACACTCGCGGATGGACGTATACACATAGCTAAAGCTTTCTGCACGACCCATCGCAGAAAATAGGAATCTTAAGCACTCCAGTGCAGTCCGTGCCATTTTAATACTCGCTCTGATGTGCAACATATTTTGCCAATCCAAAGATTATTACCATATCAGCACGCCTCCACCTCTATCATGCCTATTTAAGACACTGCCCAGATAATATCAAGCCCTATCTATTTTGTTTCCCTTTTTTTAATCGCCTGCAGTAACTAGTCCTTGCTAAACAAAACCTCTCCAAACTTGGAGAGTCTATTGGAGCAAAGGAAGTAATTATCTTCTGCGGTAGTCAAAGTGATTAAAGCTAGGCCCCAAAATCCATCTCTGCCAAAGTCGCTTATTGTGGTTTACTTTGATTTGATCGTTAAAATACAGCGCTAGCTGCTGCGAGTGAAGGGATGGGGGAATTTGCAGCGCAACCTGTATCATTAGTGGTTGCTCCTGCCTCTCGGGCTCGGTGGGACAGTCCTGAAAGGCTCGAGGCGGACAGAAAGGGAAAGAGAAAGAGAAAGAGAGAGAGAGCGAGCGAGCGAGCGAGAGCCTCGGCTCCCAACTGTACAAATAAACTTTAAGGAACTTGTGCACAAAACTTACCTTGACTTGCAAGGAGCCATTTTTCATACAGTACTGAGAACTTGTGGTTTGGATACTTCTGTACCTAAAACTGACAATTTGAATGGCCAGGAGGCACACGTAGCCTGCAAAAGAGTCAAATGAAGTCCAGCGTCAGTGAGATTATATGTTATGTGGTATATAATGTTGGATGTCAACTCCCCAAAACCATAAAACTTACTTTAATGGCACCACGTGACTTTTTATAGCCAGTGAGCCTATCTGTCTGTGCTATGGATGATTTTACGATCTAATTCATAGACAAAACCCTATTCATTTGGCACCCAAATGTCATATAGCCGGAACTGGGGCTTATAAAGTTTACTGTTTTATAACTTTTAAGGGAAGGCATCAATGTAACCAGTCAGTAAATGTGCAAATCTTTAGTTGCTCTTAGAAGCTCAGAAGAGTTAACCATTCAAGCTCTGATGGGGTAAGTAACATTGCGTTTATAGAAAACTAATCGTAGCGAAGAAAACCAAAAAAATCTGTAAAGGGCGAAAAGTGGGAAAGTGGCTATCGAGTGTTACTAATAGACGCAGAGGGCTCTAACGTGGCTGTCCTGCAAATATACTTAATGAAACCACAGGAGAAAATCTAGAGCGATGCAAACACGTCTTGGAGTTAGCAGGGTGTTTTAACAAAGCACATGTTTTTTCAACCATCAGCAAACAACTAACAGTTGATTCACCCACAAAGGGTGTTGATTGTGGTCCTGCAATGCAGCTTTCCACCTAGCCAGAAACCATTAAGGAGGAACTTATGGTAAAACTTTCAATTAAAAATACTGGTATCGGACAAATGAAGCTCTACCTCTTGCAACGTGCAGCGTGAGCCAGGTAAAATATTATTACAAACTCTGCACGGGTTAATATTTCTAAGAGGCAAATCAGGAAGCACAACTTCTTGCTTTGCACAAACCAGATCACGAAAACTTTACAATAGAAAGTTTATTTTTTTTGTTGATTTCCAGTCAGTTTTTTTAAAAACAAATACAAAAAAAAAAAAAAAGCTGATCACAGTTTGCTCAAACAGCCAGACTTTGACTATATTTGTAACTTTGTTCACAAAAAAACATACATCACAGAAGCTGCGCTTAATAAGAGCCACTTCTAAGAGTTCGTGCAAAGAGTCATATACAAAGGCACAGCAAGGACATACTGCTTGGAATCACAGTTTTCGTCACAGATTCACTATTCACTACACGTAGGACAAGTTCAGTTGATTTCATCATTTCACCTCTACAACAGCATTAATTACACAGGAATTATATAGGTAGTTTGAATAAAAATATTTTTAACAGCTTGGAGCTATACAGACATTAACACTTGACCACACATGCACAGTTAAGCAGGTTGAGTGCAACACATAACATTTGTACTAAACCGGGGGAGGGTTTCTTTCTCTCTCTCTCTTTTTTCCTTTTTTTTTTTTTTCTTTTTTTGTTTTGCTTTTTTTAACAGTTACTTCAAGTAACACATCTCGCTTCATATAAATAAGTTAAAACATCTATTATTTTTTTCAAGACAAAGCCATTCAAGACAAAGAAATGTACGATAAAAGCAGATCTACTTATACACGCGAGAGAATGGTAATAAACAGGCTCATGATTAAAAGATGAATAAGGGCGACAAGAACAGGGTTTCTTCACAGAAGTAACACAAGGAAGTTTTAGAAAGTCAACTTAGTACTGACATGAGACGCAGGGTCAGCTAATACTGCTCAGTACTTTTAATTGATCAAATGCTTAGGGACGGAATGCCCCTCCTGCAGCTGCCATGCTCATACTTTTCAGCTTATTATCCTTTTTCCATTTCATTCTCCTGTTTTGGAACCAGATCTTTATTTGTCTCTCTGAGAGGCAAAGAGCATGTGCTATTTCAATCCTTCTTCTGCGGGTCAGGTATCTATTGAAGTGAAATTCTTTTTCCAGCTCCAAGGTCTGATATCGGGTGTAAGCAGTCCGAGCCCTTTTCCCTTCTGGTCCCCCTATGTTGTCTGGAAGAGAAAAGTACATGATTTAGATTCTCAGCAGCGACTTGGAGCCTTCGTGTCTTATTGCAGCTACGAGCCACCAGGACCGTTATTCTCAGCCCTGCTCGGTTTTGTTTCTGGTTTGGATAAATGCTCAACAAGTTTCCCCCTCCAGCCCCTTTCCGAAAAGGCTTGGGGGAGGGGGACTTTGGTGGTCGTGGGAAGTTTTCGCTCGGATTTTGCTTTCGATTTCCCCCAAAAAGAGAAAACTACTCTTTCATCGAGCGCTTAGTGCTCTCCCCCCTCCAACGCCTCCCCCAGCTAAGCTGGCGTGGAGGATGCCCGCGACGCTCGCCGGGCTTTCGGGGCTGGGCGAGCGAGGCTGAGGCTTGCAGCCCTTTCCCACGGCCGAGCTGAGCACGGCTCCGGGAGGCGGCGAGCCCCCGGCTGCTCCCCCGGCCGCCAGGGCACGGCAGGTAGCGAGGGCTGGGGGCTGCTCCGCTCCCCCGCGCCCCTCTGCCCGTTCCCCCGGAGTCCGGGGGGGTGCTCGCCCCCCTCCCCCCCGGCTTCCCGGCAGTGTAAAGTGCCCTCCTCGCCCTCGGCTATTCTCTTTTTACCACGGCTCGGCAAAAGAAAGGGGGTCGGCAGCGCTGTTCCCACTGGAGGATCCCCCTGGAAGAGCAGAGCCAGGGGCAGCCCCCGCTCTCGGTCCCCCCTCCGGGAAGGCGTCTGCTGCTCCCCCGCTCCCTGCGAGCCTGGGGCCGGCGGTGGGAGCCGGGCGGGCTGTGTTCGGGGGGCCGTGCGCTTTGCTTTCGGGGGGGACTTGCCCAGACAACGGAGCGGGCTTCCCTGCGAGCGGAGTTGTGCGCGGAGGCTGCACGCTTCTCACGCCCTCCTCTCCCCCTCTCCCCGACCTTGCTCGGCGCAGACACCCGGTTTACATTAAAGGCTGCTTTTCCTCCAGAGAAATAAAGAAAGAACAGGGTATTTGCTTTACCATGACTTATGTGCAGTTTTCGCATCCAGGGGTAGATCTGGGGCTGTGAAGGCTGGGCTGTGCTTTGGTCGGTCGGGGCACTTGCCTGCTCGCTGCTTGCTGGAGTGTCTTCCTCAGTCCCAGACGAGGTGCCAACCCCGTCCCTGCTGATGTGCGTGTTGCTGCTGGAATTGGACGAAGTGCTGGTGGAGTTGGCGAGGGAGTTTTTCACCCCGTGGTGACTCTCGCTGACAGGCGAACCGGCCACGGCGGTGCAGGGCAGAGGGTCAGGGGGAGGCGAGTGGGAAGACGTCGCGGGCTGGTTGTACCTGGGCTCTGTCGAGGCAGAGGTGGTGTTGGCCGGGTAACTGCGGGGTCTCTCATTGGCACCAAAGTGGGTGGAAGCAGAGCGCCCGACGCTGAGGTCCATGCCATTGTAGCCGTATCCGTACCTGCCGGAGTGCATGCTGGCGGAGTCCCTGTATTGCTCGCTCACCGAGCTGTGATCTCCATAATTATGTAACTGGTAGTCCGGGCCATTTGGATAGCGACCGCAAAATGAGTTTACAAAATAAGAGCTCATTTGTTTTTTGATATGTGTGCTTGATTTGTGGCTCTTGGTCGTTTTGTGCGTCTATAGCACCCTTGCACAATTTATGATGAATTATGGAAATGACTGGGACATGTACTTGGTTCCCTCCTACGTAGGCACCCAAATATGGGGTACGGCTTCAAATCACGTGCTTTTGTTGTCCAGTCGTAAATCCTGCCTGATGACCTCTAGAGGTAAACTCGTGCACTGGTGGGGGAGCTGGGAGGGCGCGGGCGGCCCGGGGCGCGCCGCCGCCGCGCGTCGCCGCCGCCGCCGCCCGCCCGTCCGCCGGCCTCGAGCGCCACCCGCTGGCGGCGCGGGGCACGGCGGCGGCTCCGCGGGGTCGGCCCGGGGTGACGGCCCCCGACGGCGGCGCGGAGAGGAGCTCTCCGCCGGGGAAGGGAAGGGGCCGCCGGACGGCGCTTCCCCGCCGCCCCCCGGCGCTTCCCCGGCGCCCCCCGGAGCTTCCCCGCCGCCCCCCGGCCGCAGCTCGGCGGGGCTCCGTGCCCCCCGGCCGGGCGAGGCTGGGCTGCGGCACGCACAGATCCTGCGGGATCCATCGTCGGATGCCGGCCGCGGGCGAGTCCCTGTCGGGGTTCCTATGATCGTCCCCTTTCTCCCCCGCAGCGGCTTTCGAGAGGCGAGCGGGTCCCGCCGGCCGGCGGTGGCAGGTAGCTACGCGGGCAGGACACGGCGTTTTCCCTAGCTAGGGGGGCAAATTCCAGGCGGCTGCACGGTCGCCGAGACTTTTCCTGCCTCCCAGAAAAAATACGAAGCCGGTGGTAGCCATTTTGCATTAGGATTCTCGAGATGTGGCTTTTAAAATGTTTAGAGCGGTCGCCCAAACTGCGCTTCCTTGCAAACAAAAGAGCCTCGATGCGTGTACAAGTGGATTTGTACACAGCTTCACACGCACACTCACACACGCACAATATAATAGAGAGAGCTATAACGTATATATTAATCAAAATTTTCACTGCGCCTATATTACTTACACAGAACTCGACATGGAACCATGTTATCGCAGCTACTTTTCCTTAGAGTATCTATTTATTTATTTTTTTTTCTCAGTGCGAGGAAATGCGAACGTGAATCGAGATACCAGAAAAGCTGGGGAGAATATCTCCGAGTTAATCCGACAGACACTTTTCTTTTAATTCAAAATAGGAAGGAAAAAAAAAAAAAAAAAGACCGACCCAAGCCCACAAATCCCCAAGAAACGTAGTCCATAATTCAAAGCCCCTTCAGTGTACAGCCGAGCTCACCGAAATCTCGGTGTAAGCTCAACGGGAACCACAGAAATTCGCCCGCTTCAAAACCTCTTCCCTCGCTCGTCCTAAAGTTGAACGCCGTGCTCTTACTTTAATACCAGTAGTGCAGATTAGAGTCAGTTTAGCGGCATTTAGAAACCTCCCTGCAATTCATTTTTCGCTTTAACTGCAAGCTTATACGCAACTTTTTATACAACGATTTTTTTACAGTATTTTTCTTCTTTTTTACTATTTAAATATCTTATACGTGTGTAAAACTTCTTTTTTTCTCCCCTACAGACCATAAAATCCCAAACATAGCATAACGAGACGGCCCGCCGTAGCGAGAACTAGTAAAAAGATAAAACCAAGATTTTCTAAAATCTCTCGTATTTCTACAATATGCACATTCATAATCACACACACACAAAAAAAAAAAAAAATTACTAGCTTATCTGTTCTCACACAGGCACGCCAGGGACACTCACCCACACAGACATGCTCACCTCAAATATTTAAAAATCTGGGCCGTGTCTCTAATACTTTAAGCAACACCATTTACGCTTTGGAAAAGTGGCTATGTATATACATGACCGCAGCTCGAAAGCTAGGACTTCTACATATTTTAGAGAAAGTCACAGTTGATTGCAAATGTACATCTTTTTCACCAAGCCTTTTGGGAATTAATAGGCTGTGACAAACCTATAGGATTTTAGTAGCAGAAGGAACACAAGGTAAATAATAATAGTAACAGTAAGCGCTAAGGAAAGGCCTGGTAGCGTTTATTAAACATGGTTCTACTCCCCTGACTTTTCCTCTGTTTCTTCGCTGCTGGGTTGTGTGGAATTTATGAATTTGTTTTCCTTTTTCCATTTCATCCGCCTGTTTTGAAACCATATTTTAATCTGGCGTTCAGTAAGGCAGAGAGCGTTTGCAATCTCAATGCGTCGTCTTCTGGTTAAGTATCTGTTAAAATGAAATTCCTTCTCTAACTCTAGCGTTTGGTATCTGGTGTAAGTTTGCCTCCCTCGTCTCCCATGAGTTCCATATACTGTACCTGTAGAAGTAAAGACAAAACGATCGCATTGGACAGGGCCCAGTGATTTCAGACCAGAAAGAGCGGTTAGTATATTCTGCCTCCTTTCGCAGGCACAATCTCATGGGGGCGGGGGGCTGGAGGGGGTGCTCTGATTTTCTGGAGGCTTTTTTTTTTTTTTTTTTTTTTTGGATCCCTATTTTTTCCTTTTCTCCTGCCTGAACAGCTGTAAAAGCGGACGTGCGTCGTGCTTCTGGGGTAACCGTGATACAAAGCGAGTCAGTAAGGTGGACCTAGGGGAAGCGAGGTAGGTAACACCCTTATAAATCGCCGAGCAGGAGCTGCCCTCTGCATGCAGCCAGCCTGTGCGCACACACGCACACACACAGACACACGTGTGCGGGCCGGGGAGCTGCACGCATGTGTGCGGGTGGCTGCGGGCGTGCATAGATGCGGGTGTTTATACAAACACGCTCTATCGCCGTGGCTATGGCTACGGAGGGTCTGTAATTTAAGTCTCACGATAGACATCAGCTAAAGATCATAGAACAGCCTTTGCCATTTGCTCCGGAATTTATTGCCCTCGACTGCAAAGCAGCATCAGAATGGTCTTGCTGAAAGTTTAACTTTCCAAAAAAGAAAGGCAAGCCACAGTCCAACAAGCGTAAACCCGGGAGGGGGAGAGCGGGGGAGCCATTAGCGAGCACTGCAAGGAAACGTGTTAATGGGATGATTCCAAATAAGTGCCAGCCCGATGCAGCCCCCCCCCTTCTCCTCTCCACCAGCACCACTCCTAGACGGAACAGTTCGGTTCTGTGAAGTTCACTTGTAAGGCAGAGAAAATCCGCCGTGCCCTGGCGGTGCGCACACGGCCCCAGAAACGTGCTCCCAATATCCAATCCTTCCACGCTAACGAGCTGGGGGAGGGGGGCGAGGAGGAATGTGCCACAAACGCATTGCATCCTCAGCGCAGAGGGCATAGTCCTTACATCGCTCTCTGACAATGAAGGAGCCGAGCAGAAGCTTTGGGGTGGCTTTAGGAGAGGGGCGAAAGCTCTCTGCTCCCTCCCTTGTGGTGGTGTTGTTATTTTTATTTTTTTTTGCCTGCTTCCCAGGGGTACCGCAGTAACTTTCCCCAGCGGACCCCCGAGCAGGGCTCTGGCCACCGCTCGCAGGGTGCCAGTGTGCCAGGGCTGAAATAACCTGGGAGGGTTTCACGTTACACGCTGCCCTGCAGAAGCCATTTCTCTCCAGCAGCCCGGACTCTATCTAAGGGGAAAAAATTTTTGAAAAATAACAAAAATCCGGGGGAAAGAAACTTTTCCTGTCCCCCCCCCGCACCTCCCCTCCCCGTTGCATTCAATGCCTTACCAGCACAGGAGTTCATCCGCTGCATCCAGGGGTAAACAGGGCTCGTGTACTTCCGGTCGGTGCCTTCGTCATTTACAATTTTGGCTTGCACGCCGCTCGATTTGTACTGCTGCTCGGGAGAAAAGTGCGGGTAGTCCCCGTGTCCCCTCTGCTTGCCACTGCCGGAGGGAGAGGCGCTACTAATTTCCTTGTCCGAATAAAAACAAGAGGCTCCGTACTCATAGGAAGCCCGATTGCAAGCAAGGACGGTGTTGGACTGTTGGTAGAAACAAGGTGAGGTGTAAGTCTTGTCCTGCAGGCTGCTTGCCCCGTACGAAGCCGGAAAATGCCTGAGAGCATCATAGCCCGCCGGGTAAAGGGGGATCTGCCCGAGGAAAGAGTCCTGGCCACTGGGCAGGCTCCCAGGGAAAGTGGGATTCACGAAATAGGAACTCATTTGCTCTCCCCTCGCCCGGCCCGTGATTTGTTGTGTATTAGTACATCTGGCTATAACTATTAGTAGTCATCGAAGTGGTTTGTTTCTGGATGGCCGAGCGCCAAAAGCGACAGCAGAAAATAGGAGCAGCTGACGGCGGGGCGGCCAATGGGAGAGCGAGCGGCGCCCGCTCCCCCGGGGCCGCCGCCACCGCGCCGCGAAGTTACCGGCAAGCCCCGGCCCCGCCGCGCCGCCCCCGGCCCGCGGGGACCGGCCGCGCCCCCGGCCCCGGCGGCGCCGCCCCTCTCCCGGGGAGATGCCCTAAGATCAGCAATAATAATAATAATAATAACTGATGATAATAATACAGCGAGCCGCAGCGCGCCGTGACAGCGGAGGATGGGGACGCGACCCCCCTGCCCCCGGCGGTTTAATTGGGGGTGGGGGGCGAAGGGGGGCGGCCGGTAAAAGTTGGCGACCCCCCCCCCCCCCGCCCCCCGGGAGCAGCGCAGGGTGGGAGAGCCGGCCCCTGGCCCTCGGGAGGAGGTGATGGATGCTGCGGAGGGAAAGTTTGGAGCACGTGAAAAGGGGGATCTGGGCTCCGCGCAGCACCGTGCAGCGCTGGTGGTTTTTTTCCTTTTTTTTTTTTTTTTTTGGGGGGGGGGGGTCTTGCCAGTGTTTGAGCCCCCGTGGCCGCCGCTTCTCCCTTCATCCCACCGCCATGCCACGGCCGCGACCCTCCGGCTTGGAGGCGATTTTCCGCGGCCGCCCCTCGGCTGAGGCTTCCAGCCCCAGCGCCAGCTTTTGTGTCGGGGGCTGCACCTCCTGCGTGGGTGAGGTCTCGTGTCTTAATGAACGCTCCGGTAATTAACGCCGAGGTTCTGGCTGAGGCAGGAGGCGGCGGCCTTCTGGGGAAGGGGATTTTTGGTTTGCACCAAGTGCCCGGGAAGGCCCTGGGAAGGGCCGGGCGAGCCCTCGGAGCCCCGCAAGGAGCCCAAATAAACTTCCACGTGTCTGCCTTCCCTGAGCCCCCCCCGCCAAAGTGGAGCTGAGTGAATCAAACATTCAAATTCAAAAACGAGCCAGTAGGACTATTCCTAATTAATATAGCTCCGCTAATGAGTCAGCAGAAGCCAATCGGTTTCGTTGTTGCTCCAAATAATTGGATCAAGCGCGGATGTGTGTCTTTAAGAGGGAAAAAATACATGAAACAAGCATTTCCACGTTCATTTTTCAACATGGCAGTTACCCCATAGCGGAAATATAATTCTTGGCCCAGGGCAGGGACAGTAACAGTGCTGATGAAATTCGCTGAGATGCTTTTAATTCAGCCGTAACCCTGCAGTTCCTGGGGATAGCACGAGGTTGTTCATTGCAAGCTGTGTTTACTCATAATCCTTTCCCATTACAACCGATTGAATAGCCTAATTTTAAACGTGCTCTGGCAGAAAGTGGCATTCGTGCGAGCCCCGTTTCCTAAAGTAGCTTTAAAAGGCGAATTTTGTTGTTGTTGGAGGACTATTTATCTCATTTCCGGGGGCGGATTACGATACCTATAAAACAGTAGTGAGTTAAAACATCTCTCCACAATAGTTTGTATTGTTCGCAGTCTCAGCTGGACTTTCACATTCAGATGTTGATTGCCTCCGATTTTTTTTTTCAACTTCCTTAACCTCTTCATCCCAGCTAATCCATAAACACACCTGGTAGAATTACATCTCTCTAGCTACAGGCTTTGGGAGGTCATTCGAGCAACGTGTATTTACTGCAAGCCAGCCTTCTCAAAAAAAAAAAAATAGAAAAAGAAAAAAAAAAGTTTTATGCTCTCGGCAAACAGAGTTATAAAATGAGGGGAAGGACAGCAAACAAGCACACAACACGGAAAGCACAGAGAGGTTTTAAAACGAGCAGATTTTTGCCAACGTGGGTCAGAACGAAAACGCACCGTGAAAAATCAAGACTTGGGGCAAGCGAAGCCCACCGCCCCTACTTGAAAAAGTTGTGGCCAGACGGCCTTTTGTTTGAATCCATCGCACGGAGACCAAACTAGAAAAATCGCTCAAGGCTTAGTTATATTTACATTTTATAGCATTGCTTACGCACTGATTTATTTCTCTCTCTGTCTTTTTTTTTTTTTCTTTGACTCTTTCCTTCTGTTTCTCAAGTTCTTGCTCTCATCCAAATCAAACCGCCCAAAGGCCGACCGCGGGCAGCGAAAACATTTCTTCGTTGATCCCATAATATTGTAAGGAATTAAACGTGCACGTTTGCCTGGCTGGGTCGTGTTAGAGTGCTTACAGTGACAGCTAAGCAATCTGCACTGCAATCTCCGCTTCGGTCACATTCATGCGTCCTCTCCGCTCCTCCCCCTACCCCCAGAAAACCCCAAATTACACCGACCCGTTACCCCCGAGCTCTGGCCCTCCCGGACACATTTCGCAGCACTTTTCCTTCCCGGAAAGCCAGCCGGCGCGTTTTGCCACCGCCACAAAGTCACACTTTGCCACGGCCACTTATCCCATCCGCCTTTTATTTGTTTGCGGACTTCCCCGCACGGCCAGCGCCTCCTCCACCAAGCGTTTCGCCTTCCTCCCCGCGCCGAGATCCCCGCCAGCGGCTCCAGCCACCCTCGGATGCAGGTGCGGGGGCAGTTACCCTCTTAAGCTTCAAAGCCTCCTTCTCCTCGTATACAAATCCACTTTACAAATCCTTCTCATGCTCGGCAGCGTCCCCAAAAACAACCTTTAACTAATAGCTTCTAATCCAAACAGTTTGGGCAACGCGACCCGGTGTTTAGACTGGAGGGGTATTAGGGAGCTCGCTGGGGGGATTCGGGCTCGTCCTGCCCAGCGTGATATTTTGCAGTTGACACACACCGAGGGAAAAGCGGAGGGGAAGGGGAGGGGGCAGCTGCCGGAATACCCGGGGGCGAGCTTTGATGCTGCCATAGAGGTGAGGTAGGCCGGATTTTTTTAATCTCTCTCTCTCTTTTTTTTTTTTTTTTAAGTATGATTTAAATTTCAGTCTTTTTAAAATTATTATTATTTTCCCCCCCCCGTGGGCTTCCGCAGGAGCGCTCCCAGCGCTGCCCTTCGCAGGGGCTGCGGGGGCCGCTCCGCTCCGCGCCCGCCTCCGCCGCTCGGCCACGCCGTGGCAGCACTGAGCACCCGCGGCCCCGCAATAAATAATCCGCCGCTCCCTGCAGCTCCACTCCGGCGGATACCGCAATGCAATGCAAATGCGATGCTTTTAGCAGCCCGGCTGCACAAACAGCGCACATTTCCAGCGCTCCGAGCCGCTCACCCGTGATGGCTGGCACCGAGAGGAAGGGAGCGGGGAGGCGGCGGGGACCCGGGCTCCATCCCGGGGGTCGTTCCCCGCCCGAGCCCCTCTTCCGAGCCGAGGGGAGAAAGGGAAAATCTCCGTCTCCGGCTCTGAAATCGGTTTCACCGCCGCCAAACCCGCTCCGCGCAACCGGGGCGCGCAAAGCTGCCGGGGCGCTGCTCCCACGGCCCCGCCGCGGGGCGCGGGGCTGCTGCAGGCAGCGCCCGGGCTGATAAAGAAAATCAAAGCCACATTCCCCGCTCTAGAAATAACCTGAGGAGACATTGTGCTGATTGGTGTGATTTTTCTTTCCTTCCCCCAACCCCCCTCGAAATAATCACAAATAAATTACATCTACAATTCAGCTGCCGCAAATGAACTTTAAGCTAATGCTGCGAAAGACAAATTACAGCTTTTATATTTCTATATAATTATATATTTTTTTTTTCATCCTGCGGGGGAAAAAATATTAAATATCTCCTCGGATTGATATTGTAAACCTGAAAATAAGCTGAATGTCACAGCAACCCCCAGGCAAATGCAAACAGAAATAAACTTCGTGAAAAATCCACGGCTTCCCTATTAAATAATAGCAAGTAGACATTTTATTTAGGCATATTTTTGCATGCACTGGTTAAACCGAAATAAGCTGAGCTGTGGCCACATCTATTTTTGGCCGGTAGCATTTCCATTTGGTTTAATTGCACATGTCTAATATTTAAACGTATTAAACCATGTTTCCCTGCTTACGGTAGTGTCATATACATTTCTCACCTTTTAGGTTCTGGCTCACAGGAGCCCCTGCGACTTTGACAGCTGTCGCTTTGGCTGCACAGGAGACGAATCGCCCTCCTTTTGGTGCCAGAAGAAGCAGGAAATTAGCCAGGTTGCAAGTTGAAAATCTGCCACGCCAGTGCTTTGAATCCAATATGCCACACCTTCCAGCGGGGGAACTGGAAATTGCCATCCCGGATCTGTGTTCTAGGCGGCTGCTTATGCCGAACCTCCGCACACTTTGTTCACTATTGCCTTACAAAGAACAAATGAAATGGGGATTGAAAGCCAGAGAGATCCGAAGCAGGACAGAGCTCAGCAAAAGAATGCGGCTCTATTCTCGCAAGGGAAATTATAAAAAAGTTCATGTTCACGGTTACCATCCACATGACCGACAACGACCAATGGAAAAACCGAACAACTCATAAAGTTGTATTGCAAAGTTGTAAATTTTCATAAACAACAACGGATTTATGGCCTTTTCCTCATCACTAAGAAGAGGCAGGTCTTAGAGAGGCGCCATCTTACCACAGAGGCAGCTCTGGAGTTTTTTAAAAGACCTGGAGTTTGCACTAATTTTATTAAAATTACAATTAGTACGTTGACCAGGAACTGAGCGCAGCAGAAAAAAGGAACTTCTGCGCAAATGATGCTCTCCTTCTACCTGTATTTATCCGGTCGAATAAAGGGACTTATCGGGCTTATTTTTTTCTTATTTTCATTTTTTTCTTTTTTTAATGATTGAAAATATTTGATCAACTTGGCGTTATGTGGTACATTGAAAAAATATATCTATTTTTACAGCAGGCTTGTTTTTCCCCTTTTTAATCCCATTCTCATATCCCCCACATCTAGAAAGCCGCCGGCGCGTACCCGAACATTTACACTTGGAAGTTTCGCATCGCACTTTTTGTTCATTACCAAATATTATTTCACTGCCTACGATTTCGGCTTGGTCACGGGCCGCCTGGACTGGGATCGCGATTTCAAGAGGACACTGGAACACGGTGGAAGGAAGCCCTCCCATACAGAAGGCTTTCCGCTTTATTAATCAACTGCGCTGGGGAAAAAAATCATGAAGTCGAGATAGAGAAATTGACTGATTCCTATCCATTCATCACCTTAGATTTTATTTTTTTTTCCATACCGATTACGAAAAAAAAAATAATAATGCGGTCTAATTTCTTTATTTGTCCATGTAAATTATTTTTTATGCTTCCTTCGAACTGTATCCCTAATAAAGTAACACAATTCATTGTCAACAAGCATATTTATTTTCTGTGTAACATAAAACACATTTATCGTGGGAGATACTTGAACACGGTATCACTTCCAAAGAGAGTTCACAGACATTTTTTTTCCACTTCCAATACTTACACGGCATATCCAAATGTTCACAACGAACACATCGAAACACATTGTAACATACAATTTTTTGAATAAACTTTAGCCAACCTTCGAGACGGATTTATACAGAGTTCTTAACGATACATCATGCTACAAACTTTCCCAATTAATTACATACTTCCCAATTTATGACATGATCTTACAAATGAGCTCCAAGACAAATATAAATGACAAAAAAAATTGTTCAAATATACAGTATCTGCTATTGTAGGAAAATTCACGGTATTACATATTAACACATTCGGATAATCAGGACAAACAGTTTTTGTTTTTGTTTTTTTTTAAAGGTGGTTACATGGTCATTTAAATTCACTTTTCAAAGAACACTTTCAGCTATATTAAGTAAGATCAGCCTAGAATACGAAAACGGCCTTTAGCTGAGGCAGCCTAAGGTAGAAGCCAACGGAAGATAATAAACCGCTTTGTACAATATTGGCATGTGTTTGCTTCCTCACTCGGAATAGTAAAGATTCGAGAACAAAGATATATTGCAGCATATGGTTTTCATTTATAATTGCTTTGGAATAAATATATTATTTTAAATTTAAATATATTCAGCCTTTTCGGTACCAAATTCTATACCAAAGCTATTGATGCGTGCTTTTCGAACAATTACACTTACGTTTCTAAAAGCATTTTGCGATTCACATTAGTACGTTATCTTCTTTTGACTACTAAAATACAGTATACTTTCGAAGATAGGTAGGCGGAGCAAGATATATAGGTAGTCTGGAAAATAGGTAGTACAAATCATTGCTGTAGACTGTAGTGGTTTGTGGAACATCTTTTATTCCCTCGCTTGCTGTTTAACATTTTGTTAGTGTAGCTGTTAGTTATGATATTTTTCTAACAATAATAAAATTAAAAAAAAAAAAAAAGAAGAAGAAAAAAAAAAGAAGTGCAGAGCTACTTATTCAAAATTAGGTAGTTTTTCTTAATGTGAGCCTAATGCACTTTTCCCCTTAGAATATGATTGGGACTGTTGAGTCAGGTAGTTACTTCGGAAGGTCACGTTTACTTTATGTGCAAGCAGCAGTTCTCCCACTGAAATGTCCCCTGGACAAACCCACCCAAACTTGGGTGAACGAAAAATAAAATGATTGTAAGATGCGCTTAGGAGATACTACCGAAGAGTTCGGCACAGGGTAGGTTTGGGGAGGACGGGAGAGTGGAGAGAGGGCTGGAAAGCCAACCCAAGAAACGCTTTAATGTTTGCAAACGCTTGCTTGCAAGATGATTATTAAAGGGAACTGATTTATTATTTTTAAATAAAAACAGTGAGTGTCTCTCTCTTTTTTTTTTTTTTTTCTTTAAAGGGAGCTTTTATAACTGTCACGTGCATACATTATAGTAAGAGATTGCTTCCTCGAGTGGGACTCCCTAGTCTTCCTCTTCTTCGTCTTCTTCCACTTTCTCAACAGACGGTGCTGCTGACGTGGGCTCGTTGGGAGCCGGAGTGCTGGAGCTCTCTTCCTTATGCTCCTTCTTCCACTTCATCCTCCGGTTCTGGAACCAGATTTTGATCTGCCTCTCTGTCAGGCAGAGGGCATGGGCGATCTCTATCCTCCGCCGCCGAGTCAGATAGCGATTGAAGTGGAATTCCTTCTCCAGCTCCAGGGTCTGGTAGCGGGTGTAGGTCTGGCGCCCTCGCTTCCTATCTGGACCTGAAAGCAGGCACACACGTCCAGGAGTTAGGCAGGAAGAGAAGAGGAAAGTTTTCTTTTTTTCTCCCCTATTTCTACTATTTTTTAAAAAAAAAAAAAAAAAAAAAAAAAAAAAACAGCAACAACAACAAACCAACTAGCCAACCCACCAAAAATTAAAACCGGCCAAGCGAGAGTGAATAATTTCCTTCTCTCACTTCCACCCCACACACACACTTTACCCTAACAAAGACATTTCAGCTACACGACTTGTCCTGCTCAGGCAGGGCAAAAATTAAGTTGCCTGAGACATAGGAAAAGTGGAGAGAAAGCATTCAGGAGAGGAGGTGGGGGAGGAAATTGCTTTTGGGAGGAGGAACTTTCCCCCAGGCGATGTATTTCCCTAAAACCTTCCAGACTTCGGCGTTTCGCAAGGGGAAATAAAAATCTGGAAGGCCGGGCTGTATTTATTTTATTTTAATGTCGGGGGCTCCCTCCACCCCCCACCCCCTACCCCGCCCGGCCCGTAAACAATACATCGCATTTAGCTCCAGAAGAGAGCTCTCGTTTTTCACACACTCTCGCCCCCAGCCTCCCCCCAGCCTCTCCTCCTCCCCCCCCCCCCTCCCCGTTTTCCTGTTAGTCCATTTCTATAGATTCTTATCTCCGTGGAAAGGGCAGGGGGACGAGGGCGGCGTGGCTCAGCGGCGTGGGCCGGCGAAGCCCTCAGCAGCCCGTCCCCCGCTCCTGAGCGCCCCTCTCCCCTCTGCCTCCCCCAGCAAGCGGGAGATTTCCTTGCCCGACATGGGCAGAGGGCAGGGGAGACACTCACCCGAGGGGGCTCGGAGAGCACGCAGCCAACTCTCCACGCTCCTCTAGCAAACAGCGCAAATAAACTCGATGCTAAAATTCCATAGCGAATGGAGTTAAATAAATTTACGAGGCTAGAACCCATTAATTGGGCAATAAAAAGTTTTATGATACTCATTTACATACAATGCCACGGGCTTTCTACGCAATGGCGCCTCGGCTATAATTAAAACCATAAAGGCTGTGCTGACAGTAATTTTGGCGACACGCTTTGCCTGGCTGCCACAGCTCCAGCCCTCTTTCTCCGCTTGCCCCTACCTGAAGACCTCATCCAGGGGTATATCCGGAAATTAGCCTCAGCCTGGTTGTGCAGGTTGCTTTCCTCCGCTTTCTCACAGCTGGGTTTGGTTAGGTCATTGCAGAGGACGGGAATGTTCTGATCAAAAGAGGAACAATGCAGGTTGTAGGCATCAGAGCCCAGGCTGTATCCGGAAGAGAACGGGCTTTGATATATGGTACTGTTCACATTGTACAAGCCGGGCATGGAGGAGGCGAAGGCACCCGCGCCTGGTCCATAGCCGCTTCTCTGGGAGTTGCTTGCAAAGGAGCAAGAAGTAGGCTCTGCATTTTGGAAAAGAGAAGCCCCCGCCGTATATTTGCTAAAAAGCGCATTCACATAATACGAAGAGCTCATAATTTTGACCTGTGATTTGTTGTCCGGCAGGCTTCAGTGTCGGTTTTACGAGGTAGCGTGATATATGATAACATTACCCCCCCAGATTTACACCAAACCCCATTTTCTTTTGGACTGAGCTGCCTCCAGCACGTGACCGGTCATATGACGCCGCCCGCCAATCCCCGCCCGCCTCACAGGTGGTGCCGGCCGCGGCCCGCCGGTGCCCGGCCATGGACGGGGCCGCCGCCGCCCCGCGCCGTCGAGGCGCAGCCCCCCGGCCCCCCGGCGGCCCCCGGCGGCCCCCGGCGGCCCCGCCGCCGCTCCCGGCGCGGGGGAGGGCGCTCAGCACCCTCCCCGCCCCTCTCCACCGCCGCGGGGAGGGCTTAAGCCATGTGGTCCTCGTTAGACGGGGAGGGGGGATTAAAAATAATAATAATAAAAAAGCTTTCAAGGAGTCGAAGAGCTGGGTGTTGGTATTGCTTAGTCTTATTAGCGCTCTCTCGTCCCTAAAATGCTGGGGGGCTGTTGGGGTGTCCTCCCGGCCCCACCACGCCCTGCCGCCGGCGGTCCTGGAGCGGAGGGAGCAAAGAGGGGAGCACTGCTCGAGGGACCCCGAGCCTCCCGTCCCCCTCGGGAAACAGCACAGCCTGCCCCCCCGGCAGAAAAGTAAAAGAACAAAAAAATCGAGGAAAGGGAAAGTATGCGGGGAGGCAACTTTCTGGACGCCTTAAAAGAAAAACCAAAAAAAAAAAAAAAGGGGGGGGGAAATCCCTAAAAAAAAAAAAAAAAAAAAAAGGAAAAGCAAACTCCCTAAATTAAAGGAATCGTCTGCAAATCGCCTCACTTTTTTTTATTATTATTATTTTTTCTAAATGTCCCCTTTACCTTTCCGTCGTACGCACCTTCCAGTCCTCAGCGAGAGGCGGCAACGTTACGCGCAGACCGCGGGGAACGTTGCTGCTGCTTTTCTAAACACTCGGCTCCCCAACAATGAGAATGGCTCTCCATTGAGGATGCTGCACCGTGCCCTTCCTTTAAACGGATCGTAAAATGAGTTTCCTTCCCTCAGACAGGGAGTCCTGGTAAAGACAGCTTTTACTGCCTGCCTGTATTGCACATCATAAACTGGAAGGAGCACAATGGAATTGCCCCGGAAATTCTCCTTTCAATTATAGTTTGGTGCCCCGTGTACAAAGACTTTCTCACCAGTTAAAATTGTTCTTGGTGATATTTCGCACGGACCCTAAACTTTACGTTTTGTAAACGTGGAAGCCCCTCTCCCCCCACACACACACCTCCAGCACGCACGCACCCTTTGGGACTCTTTATGCGCGGTTATTGCAGCCCCATGAATATAGGATACTGACAGAAGCGAGTAAATTCTCTGCGGCGAGGTCCCTGAGATATTGGTGCTTCGGAGTATGCAAATGTGGCGGCTCTATCTAGATATTTGCCAAGTGTTAAGCACGTGAAAACGCAGTCGTTATTCGCAGGCGCAAGGGGGAATCTGCAGAAAGAGGCTCCTTCGTTCATTTATTCCAATATTAGACGATATCCCTGCGGTTGCGAAGTGCAAGGGGGGAACACGCCGGCAGAAGAGGCTGCTGGAAAGGAATAAAGGCCCAAGAAGTTAAACGAACGCGAAGCAAACAAGACGACGACTTAGAAGATCAAAGAGGCTGAAGTAGATGACATTAAACCAATAAATTGCTCCTCTGGTGACAACATACCAAGATGCAAGAAGAAAGGAGCAGCAAATATAACCAATGTCTAGACTTAAATATTGATAATATAGAACCGAATAGATTAGTCGGGCGAGTGTATTTCGGGGTCTCTGTAAAATATGCGCCTTCATGTATTTAGCTTTGCGTGTCTGTTTTGTACTGCCGCCTTTTTTTAATATTTCACTTGCAGCTTTTTTTTTCTTTTCCTTTTTTTTTTCCTTTTTTTTTTTTTCCTGCCAAGCCGTCAAAAAAAAAATCTCAAAAACCCTTCACCGAATAAATCTTAAAAGGAGACCCAGACATCGGTCCCCACCGCCTTATTTACTTCCCCCTCCCTCTGCGTGTTGGTCAAACAGCACCATAACGCTGCCTCTGAAATAGCCCCCCGAAATATCTCATTTTGTCGCCTACAAAACAACGCCGGATCCCCGGCGTCTGAAAATGTACTTTTCATTTGAATGCACTTTTTTATTTATTTTTGTTCAGTCGAGGAAACAGCGAGCGAGCACAGATTGCAAGGTTTCCGTCACCGCAATATTCTCACACGCTTTAAAAATAATCCTCCAGGCGGGATTCATTGTATTTATTTTTTCGTGGGAGAGCTGGACTACCTCTCTTTGCATTCTGAGCTTTTCCGGGAAGTAAAAGGTAGTGATAAAACGGTGCTCATAAGTTATAAGCGACCTGGGAGCACTCCACGGTTATGGCTTGTGTGTTAAGCAGTATCTTGATGTGGTTCCTACTAGACAGGATTTTGTTGTTTTGGAATCTGTTCTCGCCGTAATTTATCCACGATTATAATGGAGCACGCTGTGCCAAGTTATTACTTAGTATGACGATGCATAAACACTTTTTAATTTTAATATAATTTTACTGCCCAAGGAAAAAAAATAATTAATCATAGTAAGTTTAACAATGCCATTGTAGACAAACATTTGATAGGAATGCTCTTATTAGAAAGCAGGGAGTGGCAGTTACTCTTCATCCCTAGAAAGAATTAAATCTTTGAAATAGGGTGGGGAAAAAATAGCACAGTGCTCGCATTCCTTTCCGATGCTGAATTTCGATGTTAAGATATTGGCTTTGATTTAAGGAAATGTAAATAAAACGCAGAGAAAGTAGTTCTCTTACGGGATACTATGCAGCGATTTATTTACTTGTCTGACTTTAACTTGAAAAATACAACGTTCATACTTCAGACCACATTTTATGCTTCCCTCCCTCCTGCCTCTATTTTCTTTCCAATTACTTTTTCCCCCTCTCTTTTTGGCAACCAACGTCTGAAAATGCACCAGAATTCCCACTAAATCTCATTCTCGAGACGCGAAAGCCAACAAAAGCAAAAGGGAGAAAAACTACGAAAACGACCGGGGGAAATCAAAATAGCAGGGCAGCAGAAGTTAGGAATGACTTTGAGAGACCCGTCAAGTTTGTAGAGCATGACTGCTAGCATCTGTATAATATAATTACAACGGGTCCCACAGAGCTGAAATTGCTGAGGACGCAAGCGGGGCTTTTTTATTTGGATCAAAGACAGCTGTTGAAAATTTTCATTCGCCGGTAAATAATTTTCAAATTAAAGCTTTGCAGCGCTGCCGCCTCCCCGCACGGCTGCGTCTCCAGGCACGCCGGGCGGGTTTCTCTCGAAACCCCTTCGCCTTGCGACCCTCTCTGCGGGCAAGGCTCCCTCCTCGTCCCCTCTCCTCCTGGGCTGATCCAGGCAGACCCAAGAAGCACCGTGGAGCCGTGATTTTCTTTCCGTCCTGCCCCAAACCTTCAATTTCCCTCAGTTTTCCAATATTTCCTTTTTCAACCAGCCCTTCAGGACACCCTGTTGGCAGGCTCAAGGCTTCACCAGGGAAGGGCGAAGGTTTGAGGACAGGGGAAGGTGAGCTGGCACTTGTGTGACAGGGCTCCATGCGGCTCTATGAACTAGTAGATGACGCTTGGGGGGCTTTGAGAATAAAAAACGCAGGATACGGCCGTGGTGCAGAGCAAGTTTTTACCTTTGCTGTTGCTGCACCGAGTGATGCCATCCCACCCGTGCCATAATAAGCGGGGAATAAGGGAGGGAAAAAAAAAAAAAAAAGTGGGGGGAAAAAAAAAAAAAAAAAAGGAAAAAGAAAAGCAATTATCGGCCTTAGTGGGGAAGAAATGAGCGTGTTCAGCCCGAGTTATGCTCCCGCAAAGTCGACATTTTAGGAGCTGTCGGGGAGGCGGCCGAGCGCTTGATGGCGGGCGGCGGGCCCGTTCCGCGGGCTCGGAGCGCCACCTGCCGCCGCCCCGCCGCCGCCGCAGCCCCGCCGCCGCCGCCCGGCCCCGCGCCCCGGCCCCGCCAGCGCCCGGCAAGATAAATGTCCGCCGCCCGGGCTGGATTTAAGCAGGGGAAGGCCAATAAAAGGTTGTTATTTCCGCTCGCCCGCTTTATCTAAAACAGCCAGACAAAACAAATGAAAAGGCTTTTGTGGAAAATCTTAATTGTGGCTGGACAGTTGTAAACTCATTAAGAGCCGAATTCCAGACAGTTTGCAGACCCGTCATTTATTACACACTCTTAATGCTGATTCTTTGAAGTTGCCTCTGTCTGCAACAACAGAGGGCGTCCCAGCATCCCCAAATACTGGCTCAGGGATCAATTAGGGGCTTTTTGTGTGTGTGCACACCAGAACGAGCTCCCTTTCACTAATTAGAACTCATCAAATCTTAGCCCGGATTTCTTTTATTTTTTTTTTTTTTAAGGTGAAGCCGAAAGCATTTTTTTCCCCCCGCAGTTCTGCACATCTGTAAACTTCTTGCCGGTTCCCTAAGTTTTGTCTTGAGCCCTGCAGCGTTTTACACCCCATAAACGGTTACAGCAGTCATTTTCTTTTATTGCACTGTATGGCTCTGAATTTTCCTAACAACAACTTCTGCCAAGACCATAAGTGTGTTCCGTCTTATTTTGCTTTAAATACATACATAGGTAAGTGGACGTCCGTAAACCCAGGCGGCTTTTATTGTTATTCGACATATTTGCAAACACGGGGCGGCGTGGCGCAGGAGCGCGCTGGGGATCAGATTATGGAGGACATTCACCCCGAGCAGTAAGATGTCTGCCCAAAACAAGGGAAAATTTCAGCAAGCTCACAGACTTCGCTATTTTCTTTTGTTGCTGAGCTTGGTTTGGCTTGGGGCGGCGGGGGAGGGGTGGGTGCAATGGGGGTGTGTGTGGAAATCTTCCGCTCCGAAGAAACCTTCCTTCTGGTTAAAAAATTAAAAATATATATATATAGAAAAATCCTATTTTGCCTTCTCCGCTCTCGACGGCTGCCAGCCCTACTCTTTCTGTCGGCTAAATCACCGAGTAATATTGACACCATAAATTCCACCATAATTGTCAGAAAAAATTATCTGTACCTATATCTATATACATACATATATAATCTGAGGC